TCTTGGCAAAGGAAGATCCAACTCTGGTAACTAATCCACATTATCCATTTTGTGTGAAAAACAGAAGGACCCTGGAGTAGCTGCAAATGAATTGTCTGGATACTCTATGTCATGGAAATGAAATGAGCCATTGACCAAGAGTGCTGGAGACAAGAATGACTGAGGCTTTGAGGATTTGAATTTTATGGCAATTCCTAGAAATGAGCATCCGCCATGGAGGTGGCTCTCTGTAACCAAGAAGCCAGCTGATATCAATTCAGTCTGTGTCGAGAGATTCTCCAATTCTGTACCAGCCTGTTAAGGGAAGAATAGCCATGCTGGGGGAATAGAGATTGTACATGTACTTGTAAGTATGGCCTCCTGGGAACACTATGGATGATATAACTTCTACTATATTATCTACCACTCCATAAGAAAATTAATTGTCTCCTTCTACCATGTATTCTCTTTAAGATCAATCAACTATCTCCTAGCAGAGTGATTGCACTGAATTATCTCTACCTTGAAAAGGACAGCCATGATGCAGTATGAATTTATGGTTTTATTTATTTAGATTATTTCCTTTGTCAAAACACCAGCAGAATGGCTCTGGTCATCAGCAGCTGTAAGCAGAGTGAAATGAGACAGTAATACCTTGGCGCCCAGATGATCCGGCATATTTATAACTGCTTCCTGCTCAGTTTTACTAGAAAATAGCAAAGGTAGCAGCCACAGCCCAAAAAGGGGTGTGGTGAGCAGGGATGAGTCCTCTCAGTGATAAATGTCAGCATCATCTCAGCAGATAAGATAAACTAGTACACATATTTTAATAGTGTATCATTCTCATTCTCCATGGATTATCCGTGTGTTTTGAAGTAAAATTCTAAAATCTCCTCAAATTTATGATCCTAGGTTAACTTGGTTGGTTTACCCTGCGCTTCTTCCATTTCAAAAGTCCTCCACACCTCTATGCCTTTTGAAATATGAGAGAAGTAATCACTTAGTGCTGTCCCAGAGGAGGAAAACCTGGACTAAACAGCAGAATTACGATGAGCAACAGCTGTTGGTTTGAGGCCAGCATGGTAGCATAGACAAACTTGTTCCACTAATTTACTTCTTCTAAGTTTCTCAAGAACTGAGAGCAATCAGTCATGGGACAAGCACAAATGCAGTGATTACACTAAACCTGGGTACTGCTCCTTGCTCATCAGTATAGAAGAAGGAGAGGTGTAATGCAAGCCCGGGTGTGTTGGCTATATACCCCCATGAGGAAGAAATTAATTCACTGACTGACAACTCCTTGTCCCTGCCTACTCCTTGTCCACAACTTTCCTTCATCCGACAGACTTTCCTGATTCCTGATAATGCCATTTCCTCACAGTAACATCTATTTCAATGTCTGGTTCTTGAAAGGATAAATGGCCCAGTCTTTCTGCCTCATTTCAACATAAGCCCAAATGATCCTCTCCACTTCAGATCTCCTAGGAATTGCCGGATTCTGTGTTGCAACCACATTGCAGCACGATTTCTCCTACCAATATTTCTTCACTCAAGTACATGGACCCTTCCAAATGTCATATTCCAATTCAGTTCTTACAAGCACTTTTCTTCATATTAGAGTGAATTGAAAACTACAAATACAGCTCCATGGTGTAATATCTGTCTGATTGTGAATGAGTCTTTTGCACTCAATCCCAAGGACAGAAGGAGAGAAAAAGAAGGTTATACCTTGGTGCTACTGCCCACCAAGGAAGGGAAGCCAGGTAGATCAGAGCTCAAAGTAGCGTATGTGCTGATCTATTTTCTTCATCAAAATATGATACCATGGGAACAGCCACCTCTAGAGAACAAAGATTTCCGTACTGAGAGGAAAAGATCACGAGTGCAAACTAGAAATGCATGCTGAGCAAGGCAAGAGATTCAAAAGGCCAACAAAATGAGGTGTGATTTGAGAGCTATTGAGAAATAGTCTTTAATAATAGGGTGGTAGTGACGAAATTGTAAATGAAGAACTCTGCAATATTCAGGGAGCCATTTGTTTTTGTTCTTTCCTGATAGAAAGGAATTAACTGTTAATCTTAGGTATGGGATCATTTAGCCTGGCATAATCAGACAGATAAGACGGGCATTGAGAAGAATCTGAAATTGGGAAACTTAATAAGAATCTGCTGTAATAGTCAAGGCTGAAAACAACCAGAAAAACATTTAAGTGAACTAGTGATGCAAATGTTTAGCAAGAAACTTAAAATAGAATTTGAGGTAGAAAGAAGCACTCTGGGAAACAACTGTGATACATATTTAGTCATCATTCAATACAATCATGTCCTTATCCATAAAGGGTTGGCTGAAAAAAGATGGAAACCTATTTCATCATGCACACGTTTGTATTATGTGTTACAACTTCGAGTTACTTAATATCAACAGTGTTGTCTCACTGTACCACCTGAAGAAGAAATCTTTGACGTGTTTTCTCAAGATCTAAAGATTACTTTCTGGAAGCCCCAAAGGCTCGAGATCTCCAGAGGAAATGCCCTGCTCAGAATTCTCTAAAGTGCACAACTGAGTACCATTAGCAAAGGAAGAATGGCTTGCCGGGAGTTCCATGGGGAAATACAAGTAGAAAGGTCATTGCTAAGGCAGCAGGGACTCAAAATGTCCAGGGACCCCAGTTGAAATCAACACCTCTTTTGAGATATGAAAATAAAATAAAGATCACACTTGACAGCTTGCCTAGATAATTCCCAGCAGGAGCTGATCCCCTAAATCAGGCTCACATAACAATTCCAAGGAGAGCCTTGTCAAAGACTGTAAAATACCAGGTCTATGAAACCTGTAGTGGCAAGCAGTTCACCATTTCACCATGAGTTTTATGTTTAACAGAAACGTAAAATAATTGCAAAATATTTTTTTAAAAAAAATCACCCAATATCCCCATCAAGAGATTACACAGAGAATTTAGCCACAAATAGCCTGAAGATTTGTAGTGTTCGGATTTATGGTAATTCTGTTAGTTATAGAAGTGAATCTTCACTCATTCAATCTCAAGTTCATCTTTGTTAGAAAATTCCAAAAGGAAAATACCATCATAACAAAATGCCATTCATTCTGAGGATGTGTGTATGTGTGTGTGTGTGTGTGTGTGTGTGTGTGCATTACAATTTCTTACTACTAATGGCCAGAGCACACAGCTAACATGCTGGTCTATGGGATAATTTTGTGTTTCTTGCTTTCAAGCACAAACAAAATTTGTCATTATGACATCTCAACGAGCTAGTCAGCGAACTGCTAAGGAAGACCTAGAAAGCAAAACTCTCAAACCACAGTATATCCCTGCACAAAAGCTATGGGTGTATTTATATTTGAGTGCAAGTGATTATTATATTGTGTCAATCCTTTGCTTGTATGGGACTGTAAGAACACTAAATATTTGGATACAATGCATATTCAGTCTATGAAATATGAATAGACCAAATGTGATTTAGTGTGATAAGCCTTTCCTTCGGAGGTGGGAACCTGTCTCCAGGGCTGATCATCAATAATGTAAGAGTGCCCATCTCCTTCCGTTGGGACTAGCTCTTTGCATAGTAAAAGCAAGGGCATATGTTTTGCACAAGGCTTTGCATATGTACCTTTCCAAATCTTTATAGTGTCTTTGGAGGAATAAAATTCAAGATGTTTTGACTATGTTCATGTATCTTAGGCTCAACATATTTAATGTGCAAAAGTAAACAAAGCAGGAATGGGTATTTAGTCTGGTGGCCTATTTCCTTGTTGTATGAATATTCAAAAACCCACCTGTTCAAACTTTACACATGATCCCTGCAGAACAGCAGCGACAGCTTAAGCAACTAGTTATAGTCCAGCGTTTTATAATTAAATACACCCTGACATCCCATGAAATGCAATGTAAGACACACTTGCTGTTACAGGCAAACATCTGTGTCTATAAGAAAAGTATTTTTTATAGCCTCCTTACTGCTTCTTGCTTCAGATAAATGGATAAAAAATGGTATAAAGTCATTTCTTCCCTTAAGCCAGCCAATTTTCAAGAAATTTATAGAGTTGGTGGGGTAGCTAAAAGATATGAAACGTGTTTAGGTATATTAGTATTTTGATTATCAGAATTGAAGCTTTTTTCTGTTTCTAAGAATATTGGTCTTTATTCCCCGAGCACCAAATTGGCCAGTGTCCCCAAGCACAGCAGCTGTTGCCTAATTGCCCTAAAGAGTTAAGTGCTGCTCACGGTGAGCACAGATCGGTGTCTCTACAAAGTGGACCTTCAATTAGCATTGATGGATTGACTCTCTCACAGGCAGTAAAAGCTCAATTTACAGAAATGTATCCTATGAGACTAAAAATCCATAAGTTAAGATATGGGGCCTATTTTACGGTTGTAGCCATAAAATATGTACAAATATGGCAATCATCCTTTGTTTCTGTTTTGAAAAATGTTTTCTGATTTGTTGACATATTAAGAGATTATCAATATTTGTGCCAATCTAAGAATAGGCAAATGGAATTTGAATAGCCTCAGATATACTCTTCCTGCGGTATAGGAGAAATTGTGGAGCATCTGAAAAAAGAAATATCTGAAGATAAAATGAAAGTGTTGGTGCATAATATATACAATAACAATAATAAACATTTCCTGTTGCTGAGAAACATTTCACTTGATTTGCCCAACACAGACCATCTTGAATATCAACATTCTGAATGCTTTCTGTATATTTTGTGCTAGACTTTAAGGCAGGTAAGCATGGTTTTGAAGATGAGCCAGCTGTGACCATTTAATTTGAAAGCATAATGAATTTCCTCTTCAGCTTTCATTGGAGTTGCATGGCTTTCCCTTCTGGTCAGGTGACAGAAAAGATCCCCTTAGTCAGAGGAGAACTGAGCGTGCAGGGACTAGGCTGTTCTCTGCTCTAGCCAGCACTGCTCCTAAGTCCTCTATCCAAACCACTGCTGTGCTCTGCGTTTGGAAAATTGGAACAAATCAATTGACCAGCATCTCACATCAGAAGATGGGAAGTGGGATCAGTTCAGAGAGCAAGGAGTCAGCCAAGAGGTCAAAAGAGCTGGAGAAGAAACTTCAGGAAGATGCTGAGCGAGATGCGAGGACAGTTAAGCTGCTACTGCTAGGTAATATTCTTTTCTTTTGCTTTCAGCATCTGATTTTTTCCTTCATTTTTACTTTTCTCAAATTTTAAGTCTATTAACCTTGGAGGATTTAGTATAAAATATGCTTTTCCAGAGTGTCTAGATGAACTGAGTTTTATGTATACTCTATATGTATTTCATAATTTGTTTTAGATTTCATACTTAGTGCATTGTTTAAGAGATACATATTAGATGCCTCAGTTGGCCTCTTTCAAGGATTACAGAATATCATTGCTAAAAGAAAAGTCATACACATCTATTACTTTATAGCATTCTAATCGTTCCCGAAGCAGCAGCTAAAATCCTTAATGACAGGTCATAAAAGTCTTTTATTTGTTTAGACAGAAATAAACCGAGTGTTTGGCATCAAAACTATGGTGTTAAAATCATTTAGTCTCAACTTTTATGTACAATAATGACAAGATACTTAAAGTATATCAAGAATATTACTAAGACTATGAGGAAAATAGTGTCTTTAATTTTGCTGTTCATTTAAAAATATGGCATTCAGTTCTTTATAGAACACTTATATATTCATTCACTCCACAAATTATTGGTTACTTTTCATTACTTCAAAACAAAAAAAACAAATTATTATGACAACTATAATTTTAATAATTTCTCAATTTCCTAAATGAATTAATATAATCTGTGTGCTACATATTTTTCATTAGCAACTTTATGTACAGTGGTCACTGACATAAAAAACAACATTTGTAACTGGTTCTGGAAGGTAAGTGGGAAGAAGATGGCAGAGTTGGGCATAATGTTTTAGTTTAGCAGCATGTTAAATTTTAAGGGAAATTTAACCACGGACTTCTGGAGAAGAAGCAAAAAAGGTATAATTTAAGATATTAAAACCCATGATATCTTTAGCACAAATACATGACAATATGTATTAGGTAAATACATCATATAATCCAGAGGTAAAACAGTAAAAGGCATTCATCCAGTCTTCCATTTTCCATTTTTGTGTTTTCAGTTTTCCACATTCAGGCTATTGACTAACTAATTCGTTAGTTAGCTTGACTTTGGAACACTGATCTCATATTACAATGTTGTATATAAGATTCCCCAAATGAATTAAAAGCCTAAATCAATACAGAAACAAATCATAATAAGAGCTTTGACTTATTGGCAGTTGTGTATTTACCCTGAAGCTAGTTATATACAATAACGAATCATTATTTCAGGATTGTGAGTCTATCACGTAGCGAATTTCTTCCATTATTAAGTGTTCTTTTACTCTACTCCTACCACTGAGTTTCAGAAGCCAAGCATGAGCTATGTCTCTTGTTTCTCAAGAACACGGTCATATTCTCTCCTTCCTTGCTGGAGTTTGTGGCAAAGACTGCCCACAGGACTCCCAAGCAGTCACCGAGAGATTGATGGTTTAGGAAGGTGATGGTGAGTGCTTTGAAACCATCACACGTTATTTTCCATGTTCCAGAGAATCCTCAGAGGCTGTACTGGTGGAGTCAGAGTCACATGGATGTGTCAAGGTCAATAAAATGTAGGAGGAAAAGTCAGGCACTCCAGTAAATGCTTTGATATTCCCTTACCATGGCACATTGGTGCTAATGCCCAGCTAGAGCTGATCAAGGTATCAGCTTGCATGCAATCTTTGCCATCTGTTTCTCAACTGTGAATGCAGCTCATCAACTTCTTCAAGCCCCTGCTTCCTTGCCCTCCCAACCACGGCAGACTGGACACAAGTTTGGCCAGAATAAACCCTTCCTCCCTTAAAAGAAAGAAAGAAAGAAAGAAAGAAAGAAAGAAAGAAAGAAAGAAAGAAAGAAAGAAAGAAAGAAAGAAAAAAAACATGTTTACATGGAGCTAAATTTCCAACAGAACTGATAAATATTTTTTACATTCCATTAAAAAATATTTTCTCTATTTTTAAAAGCCCAAATTGTAAGTCAAATCACTCAAATGGTTGTATTACCAATTACAATAGCAATACTGTTAGACATACACAGAGCCATGACACTTGAGGTAGGTGTGATGGAGTTACTGGCCTACAGGGCATGTTATTGAGACCAAGAAGGCAACGATAAAATAATATAAAGAGTTGACTGAAAATATGTCATCAAAACTCAACTCCCTCTCAAATGCAATGATGTAATGAAGAAAATTGAGATTTCCCTAAATTATGAGGTGAGAGTTGATAGATTACTGATTGACTTCTATAAGCAGAAAAGCTTAACTTTCTAGAGAAATATTCTTTAGGACACCACCATAATGCAAAAATCCAAAACAGAATGAAAGTATCCTAATTGTCCCAAACTTGGGGGTTTCATTAAGTGAAAGAGTAGCTTTTATTAACAGGAATGAGAAATAATTATCAGGAGCAACATTGTGTCTTTTACTTATCCAAGATGATAATAATTTTGCACATTTCTTCTCATATCACTATATTATTTGCATCAACAATGCATAGCTTGAGCTGCTCAGCTTTAATTTAATAAAACAAATAACACTCTGTTCAGTTTTCACTATTTTGATTTATATTTTAAACATTCGACAACTTTTTCTTCTTACACATTTAACTCTACATTTGATTGAGTTGTCAAAGTCAAAACAATAAAATCCACTTCATTTACCTTTTTACCTGAACTCAAATTATCTATATTGCATTTTCATATTCAACTCGGCTTCATTAAGACATCATCCCATGTCTTCTAGACCTAACTCCACCTTTCACCCTCAAATGTCTTGAATTCTCATCGAAACTACATCCACACTCTTTGGTGGAATCTGAACACCAGCTTATGACAACATATTTAGTTTAATATGATAGTGATCAATTCTGAATTTTCCAAAAAAGAAGATCTACAAAACATGGTGCGATCTGCTGTTTACTCTGACCTGCACTGTCTAGTGATTTCTGGGTGCTAAAACATAGAACACTAAGATTCCTACTTGGCATGCACTGTGAAGTGGATGTAAACAGTGTGTTAGTGGAAATAGGTCTGAGGGAATCTAAATGGTGGATTCCCTCTACAAGCCTCTTCCCCATGTTCATGTCTGTTTTTGTTGTTGTTGTTGAGGTTGAGAATCACTATTTTTTTCTTTTATTGAAGATAAATCCTTGTCTTGCCTGGAAGTGCTGGCACATACCTTTAATCCTAGCACTAGGGAGGCAGAGGAAGGTGGATCTTTGTTAGTTCAAGGATATCAGGACAGCCAGGGCTACACACAGAGAAACACTGTCTGGAAGAAACACACTGTCTCCATTCAAAAGATTCTTATCTCATACAAAATATACAAAGTATCCAGATTATAGTTTCTCTCCTCTGTTCTTCCCAGTTTCTCCCTTCCTCCTTTCCTGCCCCTTACCAGATGCACTGTCTCTTGCTAGAAAAGGACAGCCTTCTAAAAGATAACACCCAAACATGACAAAATAATATATAAGATTAAGCAAAAAGTATCTTATCAAAGTTGGGACACAACAACTCAATAGAAGTAAAAGAGTTCTGAAAGTGGGTACAAGAGTCAGATTCTCACTCGTTCTCACAGTCAGGAGTCCCATAAAAAATACTGCGTTCATAACTGTAATATATCCACAGAGGATGTGGTGCAGAACCATGTAGAACCCTGGCTAGCCGCTTCACTCTATGTGAGTTCATATGTGCTTTGCCTTGCTTAGTTGGTTCAGAGGGCTTTGTTCTCCTGATGTCTTCCATTCCTTCTGGAATGTCTGGAAGAGGAGGCTGTAAAATTCCCTGAGTTCTGAAGGCAGGGATTAGATGGAGACCTGCCATTTAGATTTTCTCTCCATTTGTGGCTGTAGTTCTTTTTATTTGGTTCATCTTCTACAAGAGGCAGCTTCTCTGATGATGACTTCGTAAGCAACTGATGATGACTTCGTAAGCAATGGATTTCTGAGTATAGCAGAATATCTTTAGAAGTCATTTTACTAATTTTTATTTTTGTTTATACCTATTGCATTTTGTTTCCCCCTAGGCTTCTGGGCTTTCCAGTCTCTGGTTCTTGGTTACCCAAGCAGTGTCAGGTAGAGCTTCCTTCTCATGGAATGGGCCTTAAGTCACATCAGACACTGGTTGGCTACTCTCACAAGTTCTGAGCCACCATTGCCCTAGTATATTTTGCAGGCTGGACATATTGATTGTAGGTCAAAGGTTTTGTGGCTGGATAGGTGTCCATGTTTCTTCTCCTGTACCAAGGTGACAAGAATATAGGGGCATGTTCCATGTAGGCACCAACTTGACTTCATGTTCAGTGAACTCTGTGTGTGTGGTCCTCAGCAATGTGTTAATGTGTTCTGTTTGCAGAGAGCAAACTTTTGTCTTAAGAACAGCCTGGGTTGTTTGGGAATTTCCATCAGGCAATAACTCAATTGAATGCAATCCATCCCACCACGGGAAGCCTCTCCTGGCTACAAGAGATGACCAACTGAAACTCTGTATCCTCTCATTACTAGTGGTCCTCTTTAGAATCACCTTCAGATATTCCAGAAAGTTTTCACTGAACTAGGTTTCCATTTCATTCCTCAAATGCCCCCTCCCAATTCCAAGTATCCCTCTTTCTTCCTTCTCCCTCTAACCTATCTCCCACTATCCGGTTCCCCCATTCCTGTCCCCATTTGTTCTCAGTCTGCCCATAAAAATCTATTCCATTTTTCCCTCTCAGGGAGAGCCATGTGGCCCACCCCTGGTTCCAAATCCTGTTTCTTTACCCTCTTTTTCTGGATATACAGATCATAGCTTGGCTATCATTTATTTAATATATAATATCTTCTTATAAGTGAATACCTACCACATTTGTCTTTCTGGTCTAATTTCCCTTACTCAGGATGTTTTCTTTTGTAGTTCCATCCATTTGTCTAAAAATTTGATGTTGCCATCTCTGGAAACTCAAAAGGCTGAGAAACACATAACAAAATGTTCAAAATCCTAAGCAGCAGAACAATGCAAATCAAAACTACCTTGAGATTTCATCTTTTACCCTTCAGAATGGCA